CGGAAGAAACAGCTTCGAGCGAGAACGACGAGGATGTTGATGAGGAGGAAGGGAGTGACCGTGACGGGTGGCGTGAGTTTAGCGTTTGACAATTTACGTCCAGATTTCTGATTGTTTTTGGCTGGTTACGTTCTCCGAGGCGCGTGTACTCCACTTAAAACATTGCTGGGATGAGATGATGGGCGTGATAGAGAATCCACACGGAGTCCACCCCAAAATGGCCGCAGTATTGGAAGGTACCTTTGGAAAGGTTGAAAGAATTGGCGGGGACATCGGAAAGGATAAATGGAGGAGGAAAAACCCGCGCACATGGGAGGACAAAAACTCCAATACAATGTTTTTAGACTGATTCGAATAAAAGATGCATCGAGGCACGGCAAAATGCCACTTGACGCCGTTCTTACACGTGAAAGGCACGGGGCTTGAAAGCACGTGCTCTGCGTTTTAGAAGGGGTCGATTGCACCTAATGTTGGTGTCGGTATAGGCGTCGGCATAGTTCTTAGTGAGGCGGGTCTGGTCAACCCCATCCTTGGGCTTGTCGGAATCGGACGTGGTCTGCGAGACGAGGGTGGAGCTCAGGGAGACAGGCAATTCAAGCTGGGTGGCAACCTCAACACCGGGCTTGCAAAGCTCGAGGAAGGCCTGGGGGACATCGTTGATAATCAAGGGAGGCACTAAGATATGGGCCATACACAAGCTGTGAACATCACGTGTGATTACAAATGCATCTCGATTAGGGCAAATTCTAAAGAAAAATGTTACAAGAAATAAGTAGGACATGGAGACACAATCCCTTCCATTAAATTACTCAAACATACCTAAAAAGTCATCCTACCAGAGTCCTTAGCATGTCGATCATTTATGAGTGAGGAGATTGCCTTGCAAGGCATTTAGGACGATTTTGACATCTCGTCTCTTTGTGCTGAACTTTGGACAAAGGTGTAAGTTCTCAGATATATAACGGACTCTTATCCACAAATTCATGCAACGGATAAGCCAGAGGGGATGTGGTCATTATCTGGCAGCATTTCTACGGTAAATTGCCCATATTTGGGCGATCAAATCAGGCACGTGACATTCACAGCTTGTAAGGAACAGTTAGTAACAAGGACAAATCAAACTAAAGCTGAGGGCTTACATGTGGATTCCATGGTCGTACTGGTGAAAGCGAGTTGTGCAAGTAGATAGAGCGGTCGTTGTTTTGGGGGATAACGAAGGGAGGGCGGAACCAAGTGAATGTCATATATATCAGCCTGTATATCCGCTCACTGCATAGTTTTACATCAGGAAAAATCCGGCTCACTATAATACAATACGTAGCCAATGTAGCGCCCGTAGCACCGTCGTTACCCCCCTAAAATATAGCACAACATAGTTGAGTGCTGAAACTATATATGTCTACAGAGCATCGTAGCTCCGTAGTCCTGTAGCCTATATAGCCGGAAGTAGCGCACCATAGTTTGATAGTTCAAGAAGCCAGACATGGAAACAATCTAGCAGGAAACCAATAAAATTGAAAGCTAGTATCTAACATGAGCTCGCTGTCAACGATCACACGCTCGCTGTTCTCCCAATCCACCCCGATTCGCCGGTCCTCAAATAGCAGACAGTCAAGGAATATAATCTGAACAGACATTAATAACAGACCGGAAGAGTGTCAATCACATACCGCAGCCACCTTTGAGAATGTTGAGAGACACGGAAACACGATTCGCTGTTTTAAATACATCAGATGAGTCGGCGGGGAGGACGGACGACGTACCTTCAGCTAGACATGATGCGAGCCATCCAAATCATGACTAAAAGGAAGGGAAGTAAAAGACATAGACTATAGGATTTGGGCGCGAGATAATATCGACATCGAAGCCAGAGCTAGCCAGAGCATCACAGACCCAGATGAGCGGCAGCCACAAGCGCAGGGGTCCAAGTCATCCAGATTTAGCAGAAGGGAATTGATGGGTCACAAGAGCACAGAACATAGGTTTGGAGGGGCATTCAACGGGGCACAGTAGGGCACAGTGGAGGAAGGGAGGGGAAGAGATGGAGGGAAAAGACAAGAGACGTGGCGATGGTTGACCATCAATCACGCCATATCAACACACGTGTGTCGGAGTTTTAATGACTTGGGGAATTTTTCAAATCGCCACGCACTCAGTGACACTTTATTACTGCAAGATTTCGCGTGAATGTTTCCGCACGAGCGGGATGGTGCTTGAACACGACCGGCGAGAATACAGTGTCTCTGGGACTGGGTGTTTTGTGCCAGATACGTAGTCTTGGCGTTCGGATATATATGCCGATATTTACCGCCATCGCTACAGCGCCAATCAATGATGAGCTACATTGGGTTCACCCGGAGCTATGTAGTCTACGACGGCTACATATACACCCAATTGCCTATGATGAGCTATTTCGCACAATATAATCAACCGGGCCACAAATTCTCAGATGACTTTTCCTGATGTATATAAGCAACAAAATCTTCGGAAAGTCTTGATATGGCCACCCCTTGCGATAAGTACGAGATCTTGCTGGGCATAGCCACGGCCCTCTACCCCCAAGTCAGAGGTTAGAAGCAGCATCTCCACGCTGCCCATTGGTTCCAGTGTTCCGCACTACGAAATAGGGGCATTTGGCCAACTGTGGCTGTACGAATATTTACACTGCTTTGGACCTGGGGCTATCAACTTCCCGATGGCTCTCTTCCTCCTACCACGTTGAGTGTTGAGTGCTCCATGCGACGGCCGTTCGAATGACGCCTGTGAATCCGCTGAACTTGGTGTGCCACAAGGTTCTGCCACCCATTTGAATGTCTTCCAAACACTGTTTTGCCTCAATTAAACCGCCTTCATGTCTCAGACCTTCCGTGGTCTAGACCCTTGCTCTTTTACATCCGTGTTTTCAGCTTTTAGTATACAAGGCCTTCCAGGATGGAGTTTACTCTCATATTCAATGCCTTCTCCACATCGAACCAAAAACCGCCCACCACCCATAACTATATCTTCATCGCCAGCGGCCATGTCCTCCTTCACTGCATCTACGAGGGCCACTTTTCAGCGTGCCGCATCCTGGTCAGTCGGCCTCATCGATAGAGCTACTTTCACCTTGGCCCAGCGTGCTCCTACTTTCCCTTCCTCAGACGCAGCCGATGTTCCTCGGTCAACCTCACCGCTGCCAGCGTTCACCACCCCGATTACGGCCACTTGAAGCATACATCTTTGCCGTCCTTGACTGCTCTTCCACCGCTCACTCCTTCTGCATGCTTCAGATGCCCTTACTGTCTCTTGATGCCTCTATGAGGTCAGTTCGCGGCTTCAGTGCCAAACCGGCACTTTGGTGCCCTGGAATGTACATCTCCAGTCCTTTGTCCTCCTCTTCTGCTTCTGCTCGGGCTCCCTCTCCCACCTCGACCACACTGTCCCCCCTCACATCACCTTGGTTCAAACCGGCGATGTCGCTATCCGCTCTGGACACACCACAGTAGATTCATGACTTCCACCCGAAGTCGCTGTAGCGTGTTTCCAAGAAGGTCGTCTCCAGGATGTTGAGGAAACCCACCGCAGTCGCACCTGTGGAGTCGTCTGGCGAGGATGCTGTTTTGGGCATAGACTCGGACTCGGACGCGTTGGTGAGGTCTCCGGCCCCGTCACTGTCAACCACGAGCTGCTCACGGCCCTCATCCGTATCGAGCTTTGAACATGTATCGTTAACTACAAACGAGCTGTCCGTGTTGATGGCCATGAGGCGCAGCGTGTTCCCCTCGACCTGCATCGGCTTCATTGCAGTTTGTCATCATCTTTCTGTCCAAGTCTGCACAGCCAATATACCTTCGTCGCAGAGCCTTTTGGCGCTATTTGTGGCCTTTTTGTCTCTGTACCGGCGGCATGAACTCCCCAAGTGCAAAGTCAACCCAGTACCCAATATTGACATTCGGACAAAGGTATGTCGCCCCTTTCTATGTGCCTGTATCCCCGTCTAATCTAAACTTTCCCTTCCACAGCACAAACCCACCCGTTGACACCCATAAACATCCTGCGTCGGAAGATAGCACTGTTGCCCATCCGTCGGTGTGTATTGACGAATGGGCTCGCACCGAAGCGCTGTGTACCTGCTGCCTCACGCCACACCTCAAAAGTTCTGACCGGCCTCTGTGACGTCCACAGTGTTAAGGCGGCATAGCAGCACCCTGAGTTTCACGTTAATGCCAATGGTACACGAGAAGTCAACAGGCATTGCTGTGTAACGTGCCGATGCGCAGTCGTCTTTGTGAGTTTAGTGCTTCTGGTGTTGCGAGATTGTACTGAGCGTCGAACGGTGTTTTATCCCGTGTATTTATCTTATCTTTCAGACTTGTATTTATTGCGAGACATATAATTTCATGATGTATGTGATGCAAATGAATCACGAACAATTCATGTGAAGAGTGAGTGCAATTCAGCTAGAGTGGTGAGAACGTCTACAACTGACTTTGCGCCAAGTTTTGGCAGTTACAGCCACGCATCCTGGATTGCTGGCTGGGCTTGAGGCCTGGCAGAGCAATAACTTGAACAAAAATAATTATCGGTTCATCCACTAGGTACCTATATAAAGTAGTTCCTTGGTTCAAACAAGGACACCAAAACCAAGCGTTTACGTAGCTGCGATTTGAAGGATCCCCAGTGTGTGACTGGATACTGGCCATATCTGTACATGTGTTGAGAATACAATGAACCAGAAACTGGCAAAAATATATATTGAACACCACAGTGAGCAGTACCTTGGTTCGAACAAGGACCTTGGGGTGGTATTGTCAGATCTATATCCCCGTACAAACACGCCATGTGCAGCGTTACAACATGCTGCCAATATATTTTACCATCCGCGGTTGAATAGCCGGGCATTGTGAGGACAGAGTCAGAAGGAAAATGATCGCCAGTACCAGTGGTATAGCAACACCTTGGCTGGAACAAACGGAGTTAGAATTGGGCGGCAAAAGATTTACAATTGTGGAACTTGGGAATGGCAGTGCCTTGAATCGAACAAGGACCTTGGGGGTCAGAGAATTTCATCGGAATAAGAATACCCCATGTGCGGCTTTACACCATACTGCCTGTATCCATTCTCATGCGCGGTGGTCTAGCTGAGAAAATAATCAGGCAGAGTGCAGAATTGGAAGGAAAAATATTTGCAGACGGGAGAGCAGTGCCTTGATTCGAACAAGGACCTCGGGGTGGTATTCTCAAACACATCCTACAAAGATCCCGTACACCATACTGCTTGGATTAGTGGTCAAAAAAGCGACACTGATGAGAACAGATTTAGAATTGGAAGGCAAAAGATTTGCAATAGCAGGGGGGGATAGCTGTACCTTGGTTCGAACAAGGACGTCAGCGGTCAGATGGCAACTTGATTAGGACAAGAGCCGTGTTACACCATACTGCTTGCATCAACATTTCCACATGCGATTGAATATGTAGCTGGGTCAATGATCAGAGTTGGAAGGAAAAAAAGGCGAACTGCCCGGTGGCAGTACCTTGACTCGAACAAGGACCTCGGGGTGCACAAGTTATCGATATCTCACCTCAAGCTTTCCTTGCATGCAGCGTTACACCATACTAGTACTGCTTGCATCTGCTAATTACGGCTCGGTTATTGCTGAAAGCCTGGCGGTGATCAATTGGAGTTTACCAAGCGGGCGAGCTCCTCTTTGCCAGACCCGCGCGCTGAATCTGTCAGCGCAGAACGCGGCCGATGCGACGGCTCTCACCTCCCACGCATGCCGACCTCCACGCCCGCGCTCGACGCCCTTCGACTGCATGCTACCTACCTACTAGCTGCCCAACGTTACATCAGGCTTTTAACAACTTACTTGCCGGCGCTTGTGGACACTTGTACAAGCTTGTACGAGCCCGAAAAGCCAACAAGCTGACAAGTCGACAAGCTATGTCAAAAATCTGACAAGCAACTCGCCGCAAGCCAGAAAAGTTAGACAAGCCCACAAGAGGCACAAGGAATATGCAGTATTTCAATATATTGAGCTACATAATAATGTGGGGCATAAAAAGGCCTGGATGATGGTGGAATATAGTAGGAAAGGCACGAAAAAAGAAGGGTCGAGCCGGGCGGGGCGGGGAACTTAAAAAAGGAAGAGATAACGATGGGTGATCTGCAATGCAGCCGTAGGTAGGGAGTGTGGGATGTGACTAATAGATCCGAACCCGACCGGGGGTAGACACGGCGGTGCGAGGCGCGGTAAAACAGATTGGAAATTTCAATGGTCTGCAGCACGCAGTCGCGGCGGCGTGACACTGCTCGCGGTCGAGTCGAGGGCACTAGGCTGCACGATGCACTGAGCCCCAGGTAGTGCGGCTGCACACGTACGTCGGTGGCGATGGGCTGGGCAGTGACGTTGAGGAGTGAGGGCGTCGGAGAGGCGTGCTGCGATTGAGAAATTGGAAGCAATAGGGCGGAAAATCTTGAGAGCTTGGAAAAAATGAGGTGAAAGGGCCAACGGATTTGCGAGATGCCTGTATGGGTAGCTGGAGGACTGGCCTATGGTCAGACGAGGCAAAGGGCCCCAGAGACACGGATTGAGGCGGGAGGCAAGTGGAGAAAATGGGGGGAAAAGGAAAGACCATTTGATACAAGTCACGCCATCTGTTGCCATCTGTCAACAATTGGCATCGTGATGGGCAGAGTTTGAAAGACTTGTCCATATTTCCCCACCCGCTAACACGCCCAATTGCTTTTTTTCTTTTTGTGCTGTTTTCCGCAGATTCAGGGAGGAAGACTAAGATGCAAGTTATTTGCAAGATTTCGTTTCAAAAAGAAATGCATCAACTCAGACTCGTCAGTCTTGCGTGTTTGGCTTGTGGGTCTTTTCTGTCTGATGAGCTTGTGCACAAGCAAAACGGGCTAAAAAAGCCGTAAAAGCCCCAAAAGGAAATTGCACTATTACTGATGTACTTTGACCCGCCCGCCCAACTCGCCTGCGGTCGAATGCCACTGCACGCACGCCAACCTCGCTCGCATCTCCAGCAAGCACCGAGCCGGTGTCTCCTCCCGCCGCGACCCACCCGCGATCTAGGTCAGCGCGCACTGCAGCCGATGGGCTGGCACTCACCACCTGCGCACGCCGACTCCGCGGGATGCGCCCACGTCCGACTTCGACCTCCGACAGTGCGCTGGCCGCCTTACCCGCTCGACTTCTGCGACCCGCCCCGTCCAATTCACTCGAATGCGGCATCTCCACCGAATTGCCAACGCCGCCCGTGCGCGACTGCCATGGCCACCTCGTGCCTGCGCCCACGTCCCACCCTCGACTCGCCCCACATCAAACGCGTGTGCCCGAATCCGCACCCGCCTGCACTCCCGCACACCGGGCACCCGCGCGTGCTGTCTGCACCGAGGCGGCGCCTCCGCCCACCGCAATCGCGCAAAGATGTGTCGTCTCAGCGTTGCCCACGCACGGACCACGTCGTGTTTGCACGCACGGACCCCCTTCCGGGGCGCCTGCACTCGCAAAGCCCACGTGCCCACCCCGACCGCCCACGATCTAACAGATCCGTTAGTGCACACTACGGCCGATTCGACCGCTCTCACCCCCCACATATGATGTGCCGCTCCTGCGTGAATCCATGATCGCCATACTGCGCGACATCTACCCGAGCTCACTTAACAAATGGCTCAACCGTACACTGCCCATGGGATTCGCCAAGAACGGGTTCATCGACTTCACCGTGCTCAACCTCGCGCGCAAGTTGAGCATCCTATCCACCCTTCTTGGTGTCATGTATAAGGTCTGCCACGCCGGATCCGCGCCCCGGCGGGCAAGACAAGCCAGAGGGTCGCATGTGCTGCCTTCTGGTTATGCAAGAGTTGCTGGTCCGATCACGGGGCGCCAGGTTTTGCTTTCCCTCACGGACCACGATATCAGCGATTGCGACAAAAACTGAGGCGCGGCTGCAGTTGCTCAAGGGCGACCTCGAGGACGCGGAGAAGTCCGCCAAGTTCGATCCGCTTGTGGACGACTTCGAGTGGTGCGAGTACGATGTATGCTCCGCGTGCCCCAGCGCTGCAAAAGCAGATTTTCATGCGGCTCGTCGAAGGTTATGGGATGATTTACCCCGTATCTTTGATCTTCCCAGCTGGGACGACTTGTTAGCCTAGGTCACTCGGCGATATCTCCATGCTCCGGCAAGCTGAATTGCTCTCTATCATATTCAATGGCGGGCGGTTGGAAAGTTGAAAACTGAGACACTGCCACTGTGGCTGTTCAACCAGCTTTGCCGCGGAGGCCGATACCACACGCGCGCAAACACACCTCACTGTCCTTCCATGTCGTTTTCTGCTGGGCCCGCTCTCAGGTGCCCTGGTGGCCGGTGGTGTGCGGCGCACGTTAGCCATGCACCTCAGCTACTGACTTGTGCTTTAGTTCTACTACGGCTACTCGAACATGATCCAGACGAGGTCAGCTCTGGCGCTGACCCCCAATTCTGGATTACTGACGTTCTTGCCTCGTCCCACAGGACGGAAGCGCACAGACGAGAGTCCGTCCATCTCTATACCTAAATATGCACGCTTTCCTGGCTGATGAGCCATAATGCGTTCCGGCAGCCTGCACACGCTCAGCGTCCGCCTTGTGGCCACGCCCGCGCTCATCGTCGCGCCGCCGTCGGCCGCGACGCGCATCACGCCCCGCCCGCTCACCACGCTCGTGCAGTCGCGCTGGAACCAGGAAGTTGCTGCACTGTTCGCCGGGTTGGGCGCGTGGGACACGCGCGCGCAGCAGTGGGGGAAGCGGCTGCTGTATCGGTCGGACGCGCAGCCGACGCCGGGCGCGGAGAGATGATTGCTCGATTGCTTGTGGATAGTTCGTGAGCTGAACTGTGTCCCGATTACCGAACTGAGATTTAGGCCTTCTTTTTTTGAGGACAAATAGAATACTCCCCTGTACTGGAACACGTCTTTATCTCTGACTCTTGACCGCTCGTAGACCTTTTATTCATTCTTCCGTCCGTCAAGGACAGTGCATGACTCGTCAAGATCCCCACTTGCTTTTAGGTCACTCGAGATCCTGAAATTTCATTGGAAGTTGGAGCGCAATCACACAATCCCTGGAACACGGATAGATTGCGGGAAGTATACCTAACGGTTGTGGGGCCCTCCCTTAATGTCAAGGTCGATTCCGTCCAAACTGTCTTCCGTCGTGGCTTCGTAAAACAACTCGCGCCGCTGTGGCCGCCGCCAGGGCTTGGAGTTCTAAACCAACTACATGTGCAGTCCACTACACTGCCCGTGGTCGCGCCGCTGCCCATCGCGGCCAACGAGTTCGCGATCATGTCGCTGGGCGCCGTGCACACATTCGCGGCCGTCGACCAGATGGGACTCGTGTGCCAGGAATGCGTTCGTCGCGTATCGGCTGCGGTAGAGCATGTACTCGAACCTGCATATCGGGTATCAGGACTTTGAGGAGCATGGAGATGATTCTCAGAGGACCCGGGCGCCGAATCCACTACCTATGTTACATACATACACAAAAAATCCGGCACAGAAGTAAACGAAAAATCCACAACCCACCCCAGTCATTTACCCAACCTTTCGTCAATGAGAGCAATACTCTTGGCTTGCGATGATCTCTCATATAATGGACGGGCCTCATTCCACAACGATCGGGCCTCGATAAATTGACCACGGGCCTTGGCAATATCACCCAACCGAAGCATGCAATCTGCCCTGCTGCGGTGGATATCCATTGCTGTAAACCCATCTAGAGCGACGACGAATAAATCGGATGCAGTGTGCTCGTCTCCTTGATTGAAGAAAATATCGCCAAGACAGCGCAAGGCGGAATAGACGACCGAGAGACTTCGGGATTTTTTTGCGAACCCAAAAAGAACACAGGCGTATCCTAAGGTGGTGCGCATGTCACTCATGCCGTGCGTGGGATCGCCGAGCTTTTCCAGGCACAAAATACCAACATCAGCTCGGCCCCGATACTTCAACAGGCAACGCTCGTAGATGAATTGCGGCTCCGTCTTCAGACCATGGCATAGCTGGAGGTCGGCAGTGACGATATCACAGAAACAGATGCCGCCAGGAGAGTTCAAAG